TTTACAATTTATCCAATTAACAGAACTTTTAATTGATCAGAATGCTGCTCCAGCATAGCACTCACCCACAAGAACTTTGGCAGACAGGGTTATCAAGTCTTAGACTTTTACGTAAGTGCATAGAAAGGATGGATAAACTGTAAACGCTGGCTGTTCAGTTCTCTTTTATACTGGAATTCTGCAGGTCTCTCATACGGCTTTTCAGACCGCATTGTATAGTGTATGAAGTGTGCTACATAGTGTAAGTGCACAGAAGGGATGAGACCTGCCTCCATGCCTACTAGATGCAAATCAAATTTTAATATTGGGACCACATTTGCACAATAGAATAATACATTTAATCAATAGATACTGGGTGGAACCTAAAGTTCTGTTCACAGAGTTAGGCCCCTGTTTCTCCTCCAGACCTTGCTCTAGAGAAGTGGTTCCCAGCCTTGGGTCCCCAGATATTCTTGAACTAAAACTCCCAGAAGCCTTCACCATTAGCTGTGCCAGCCAGGATTTCTGGGAGTTGCAAAACATTTGGAGACTCAAGGTTGGGGACCACTACTCGACTGGGAGGCCCTCCAGAACAATGTGCAGATGGACTGGGGAGTGGCCACAGGGAAACACCTCGCTTTCATTTTCTGGAAGGCTGTGTCGGATCTCTGTATTTTCAAAACAGAGGATGGAAAGGTTCTTGTGGATCCAATCACTAAATAAATACAGAACAATAAGCATAGCATTGCTTATTATATGAAAGGCCCTTCAAAATACCACACATGAAGAATGAAACACAATGAATTAGAGCACCTTGATTTAATTTTTGAGGTACTTGTATTCATGAGTATTCCCAAAATGGATACAACTATAAAAGCAACAGATCTGCATGGATCAGGATCCAGTCTGAGATGGTACCTGTTTAAAAAAGAGGAAGCAAACAAAAGGGTTTTATATTTGCCTGTGCTTGTGTATAAAGCTGCTCTTGATGTACTTAGCAGCCACAGCAGGACAGTGTAACTAAACTAAAAGAAGCAACTAGATCCTATTACAAACTGCTTTAATCTTGGTTGCTAATTGCTGCTATTTCAGGAGTCATGGCTTGTATTTCTTACCGTGCTCCAAATCACATAGCTGGTACACAACAAGGAATACAGACATTGGCCAAAATCCTGTTCACATGATAATACTGGCAGCAGTAACATTTAACTGAAATGCTTCCTATTTTCCCCACCCCCATCCCCATTTTAGGTTCTGTCGCTCCCTGAGGCTCCCTTTAGCCCTGGGGAAGCTTTTGGCAATCTTAGGACAGAAGTGAGACAAGAAAAGAAGCCTTTAAAAGTCAAAAACTGCTGCAGGATGACCACTGCTGGTCCTGATCTGAGCTTCAAAAAAGGCAGAATAAACAAACAGCTAAAAGATAATGCAGAAAGATTTAAAAAACATATTTAACACTTTCATTGCACCCAGAAGATGAAATCCCATCTTAACAAGCCAGGATATGCACAGAATCTATATGGCTGTACACAGGCCATTTTGCTCTTTTCCCTTCAGTTGAGATGAAGAAGCCCGGGGAGATGTTGTTAATAACTGCTTCTTATGCACAAACCAGGAGCTATGATTAATGGCTCCCAAGCAATAATTTTTATTCTGGTGTATATTTACTCTCTCAGCAAGAAATCAGCACAACTCTGAGAAGCTATATAAGATTTCCCTTGCTCATGAATAGCTCTCAAATCAACTGCTGGACAGCCCAGTGGTTCAGCCATCCAGCTGTGGAGTCAAAGGCTGGGCTTTCAACTCCCCACTGTCCCTCCTTGATAGGGGGCTGGACTCGCCATTGGGTTAAGAAATATGCAAACAGACAAGGGGCTGGACTTGATGATCTACAGGGTCCCTTCTAGCTCTGCAGTTCTAAGATTATTATAAATCTGCAGAGTCTGTGAATTGCTTCCTTGCATGTCTTGGAAGTTCCATAATACAGATACCATTTCACAGAAATAGAACATGAAGGGTAGAACAGTCTAAATCTGAAGTCCAATATCTAGGACACCAAAGTTGTTGCTAATGTTAAGTATTTTCTCTCCTCCCCCCCCCAACATTGCTTGGAAACAGGCACTATACTGGCTTCTCACCTTCACAACCAACTTGCCCTATCTGTAACTTGTCTCGTCTGTAGTCCTACCATCTACAGAACTCTGTTGCTACTTGGTATACTGTGACAGCACTGCATAGTTAATCAACTAAATAATCCTACCAGCTTGCCAACTTGTGAACCAATAACTTTCGGAAACAGGTTCATTTTAAGCACTTCATATGGCAACTTGTAAATTCAGAAGGATTACCTGAGATTTTTTACCCAGTATATCAACGATGGACAACTAAGCAGCACAATCCACGTGAGCAAGTTAATGATTGTAACATGCATATTAAGACTGTCAGCAATGTTGTCAGTCGCTGTGGTGATAAGAGATGGTTTTTCTGCTTCTGAGAGGACATCCATTGATTCACATCTCTTTCCCATTTCTTTTTTGGGATAATTTGAATTTTGCTGCAGATTATTTGTTCCAAACAGTTCCAAATTGTTTGGAGACTGTGAAAACATATAAACATATTACATGGTTTTCAATAGTGGTAAGATCTGATGGTGAAATAATTAATACAAGTATCGCCATATCAATCAGTACCCAAGGTATAAGATACATTAAATTTAAACTCGTAACTGGGAATATGAGGTGGGAAAGGGCATTCCAGAGGAAATGTATGTTGAGAAGCCTAATTACGATACCAAATAATGGCAACCAAAAACTTAAGGACAAGAGATAAGAAGATTTATAGAAGACTCCCTTAAGAAAAGGTTTCCTATCTGCTCACAATGCCGTATGTCCAGGCCCAGTGATGTGGCTGTTATTTTTTATGACTCCTTTTTTTTAAAAAAGGTAGGCATTCTGCTAAATCCAAGAATACAACAGAAGTAAAATAATTCAGTGTTCACTTCTAACAAGCACAAAAGCAAACACCTAACATACTTACTGTATTAAGGGCACTTAGTTCTGTTCTGACATTTGAATGTAGATTAATAACCTGTAAAAAAAAAGAAACAATCATTTATTTGTTTTTACTGAAATGTCACACCATTGATATCCTAATACCTCATTGTTAAAATGCAAGCTTTTCACGATAATGTTGTAGTGTGTACTGGTTCGGTTCGGATTCAGGGTTTCCCTCCTGGGACTGAATTTCAACTTAATGGCCCTCACTCAGCCCATCCCTGCATCCACACATCAGTTCAGATCACCCACCTCATCTAGATCTAATAAAAAGGAGAAGACTGAATTGGGTGACTTGCTGGAACCAGTTGTATTGGCTCTTGCCTTTCCATTGGACCATTTCAGCAATGTGGAGAGGGGGGATCTGCTGCTTGGGTAACAGCCTATCCTCCATATTACCTTACCCGGGCTTCATGCTCTGGAGAGGACACTCCTCGATTCAGAGCATGTTACCATAGTCTCTCGAGACTGAAGGATGCCTATGCATTGTTAAAATGCAAGCTTTTCATGATAATGTTGTAGTGTGTACATAGTGGTTCGGATTCAGGGTTTCCCTCCTGGGACTGAATTTCAACTTAATGGCCCTCACTCAGCCCATCCCTGCATCCACACATCAGTTCAGATCACCCACCTCATCTAGATCTAATAAAAAGGAGAAGACTGAATTGGGTGACAATCTCAGTCAACACCTCCAGCTCCTAAGAGTTTCATGTAGATGTCAAACGACGTGTGAGATAAACAGAGTTCTTAGGAACTGTGCAGCACATCTGCCAAAAGGCAATGCAATGATTCCTTCTGGAATCAATCATTCAAATAAAAGTGGAACCTCTAAAACTGGTGTACCTACATCCCTAACTCAAGTATTTTATCTACAATGAAATCATGCTTGATGGTACTGAGGGCTGCAGGAGAAGGTCTCTTAACACAGATTGTCCCACAAGGGAACCAAGCCAAATTAGACATGGCTCTAGAATGGTGGTTCCCAACCTTGGGTAATCCAGGTGTTTTTGGACTCCAACTCCCACAAACCACAGCCAGTACAGCTGATGGTGAAGGCTTCTGGGAATTGTAGCCCAAGAACACCTGGCTTACCCAAAGTTGGGGACCATTATTCTAGAAAATCCATTTCATCCATGGATCAGTGGACAACTTTCCCATAAGGTACATCTTCTGTATGGTTAGCATTGTGCCTTCATATCCTGCCCACCAGGGACATCCGGGGTCACTAGTTCAGGGACAGGAAACATGCCACACTGGGCCTAATCTCTTGCATCCCTATTTAAGAAAACTGTCTGTGAGAGTGATCTGTCCCTTCGAGAAAAATCTGCTACAGAGGGCTAAAAGCAACAGATGGAGAAAATAGGCAAGCTTACTTCCTGTTGCCTTCAGACTTGCCCACTGCCTGCATGTAAGTCCAGAAATTGCCTCAGACACGGAAAAGACTGACCATGCTTGCCCCAGATGAACACCAATGGGTAAGATTCATGCACTTCCTATAGATGTGAACCCCCATGGCTGCAGGCCTGGTTGATACAACGAACATCTCAAATTCAACAGATAATAAGAACATAATAAGAACCATGTTGGATCAGACAGGAGGCCTGTTTATTCCAGCACACTGTTCACACAGAAGCCAATCAGCTGCCTATAGGGAACCTGCCGACAGGACAAAGGAAGTGCAAAGTACTTCTCATTTTCCTCAGCCATGGACATAGGGAGGCAGCCTCTGACCCTGAAAAGTGATATGTAGCCATCCTGTAAATTCGATCATCTTGCAATGTAGTTAAGTGCCCTGGATTTATGTGCAGATGGAGAGACAGACTGGATGATAACACGTAAGCAGGACAGGTATAAACCTTAATCTCTCCCCCACTCCCATGCTAGGTATTTGCCCAATGAGAATGCGCAACCCTTTGGCTAAAAATATCAACATTATATTCAAATATCCCTGTATGCTCGTTGATAGTTAAATACCTTAAAGATGTAATGGAAATATGTAATTATTATAGCCAGGGCCCCACATGTAGTCCAGCTAAGAAAAATCATGGAAGCAGCAACACACAACCTTCTTCGTGTAATAAAACTCTTGTCTGATGGTAGTCCAGGGGGTCTAGCGAATACAAATAACAAAGCAAAAACAAAGCATTAATGCAATGAAATATACATCAAGCTGGAAGCATGACAGTTCAGTTTGGACCCAAGGTTCCCTCTAAGCCATGCATGTGATTCCACCTCCCTCCACGCAGCTTTCTTCTTCCTTCACGCAGCAATCGTGTTCAATCCATTTGGTTCCAGTTGCAACGGAAGCCTCTGCGTGCGTGCGCGCGTGCAGGGCTGAAAATTATAGGGTACGTTGTTTGGACCCATGGCAAAATACGGTTTATATTAATAGTTTACAGCCCAAACTGTGGATTAAGCTTCCAAGTCAACAGAAGTCAATATATAGTTTTGATTTTTCCCTTTTTAAATCAGCTTCACGGGATTAGTTCAAATAAGTATCTATGATACTGCAGCCTCTGGAGGTACAGCAATGGCAATCAATGCCAGCCGAGGACCATTTCAATTCATTTTCTGATTAGTCACAAGACACACATTGTTTACCTTACCCTCTGGCTTCCTTAACCACATTTTGCTGTAATGACAGCAATAAGAAAACCTCAAGCTAATGCATACTACTGGTCATCATGTGAATCTCTGTTTCTCAGCAAACCACAGCTTGTGTCTACATGCAAACAGAAACAAACAATGCTCTGCTTCAATTTCAAACCACATCAATCCATCATGGTCGAAGATGTGACAGGAAGGATAAAGGTGCATGTATGAGGCTGTAATATCAAATCACGTTTGGTGTTACATTTAAACTAAGCCACAGACTATTAGAACTGAGAGGGATTCTTTTAAAGAACTAAATCATAACATGTCACTGGTCTATTTTGTACATTTTAAATTCTAACCATTTAACAAAAATAACACCTTTGTCTATGGATATAACCTATAGATTGAATATCTGGGATTGTTAAAAATAATATCACCTCTAAGTAGTTTTATTTTTTGAAGAAAATAAAATATATTTTCCCATTAAAAAATGTTATTTATTTTAAACAAACACATTATAAATTTTCCACAATTTCTCACAGTTCTCAAAGTGAGCCTGAGTACTGTAGAATTACAGTAGCACAACGACAATATTATTTTATATAAAAAATTGCTTCCTCATCAAAAGGTTAGAAAGGACACAAGCTTTTTCTATCATTTTTGGGGTCAAAATCTGAAACGTGTTTATTTTTACTTTGCTAAGTCATGTTACTTTGATAAGGAGGATTCCTAAATAACATACTGCTATTTTTTGAAGAAAGAGAACTATACAATTGTAAAGAATACTCAAAGATTAAATTTAGAGAGAAAAGGAGGCTGAAATCAAGCTTAATCGAGCCAAGAGTTGTCAATAATGACAACCATTACATTACACTCTGGGTGACGCAGTAAGACACAAGTGTGGAAACTCCAAAGACTAGAATAGTCAGAAATGACCTTGAGGATACAATTTAACCTTCAAAAATAAAAGCAGGATAATAAAAAACAATTTTGTAGGAACAGGCTATGGTCAGAAAATGGAAGTCAACCTTTAAAGAACTGGAACAGGAATAAAAAAATTGGCTTCACAAGGAAATGAAAACAATTTTATATATCATGTTCAACATTTTATTGGGAAGAAGTTAGCACTTGGGTGAAAAAAGTAACCTGGCAGTAAGTATTGTGTTTTGTGAATGATGAGGTTTTTTGAATTTTTAATTTATATCAAATCAGGACCTAAAATTATTTCAAACTCATTTTAAGAATACTGTTTCAAATAATCTAAGGAAGAGTCATTACCACTTTACCATTGATTATTAGCTGTGGTTGCAATACTTAGCTTGCTGATTCCTTTTATATTATATTAATACATGAGAAACACAATTATTTTAAAGTATTTTTAAACTCTTGCACCAAATTAGCTTTAATCAGTCTATCAGTTAACAAAAAACTTAACTAATTCATCTATCCACAAAACTAATTGAAGCACATAGACTTATAGTAATCCTTAAGGGAATACTGTTTTATGTTCAATGAAAATAAAAGCAAGAGCTGACAGAGCAAGGATGGGCAACATCCACAGTCCAATCTGTGTTGTACAGTGTTTCTGTTCATTCTTTGCAAAACGAGAGGTTACTTACCTGTAACCATGGTTCTTCAAGTGGTCATCTGTGAATTCACACAATCCTGCCCGGCCTCCCCTCTGTCTGTCACTGGTTCTATCTAGCTCATGCTCATGTACCTGTGGCAGATAAATGGAACTGAGGCTGGGGCGGGCAGAGCATGTGGGGTATAGGCAGCCTTACACTTGTTACTTTTCTCTTAAAGCTCAAGAATGTTCCGAGAGGACCAACGCTGGCGCTGGGTTAAGGATTGTGTGAATTCACAGATGACCACTTGAAGAACCATGGTTACAGGTAAGTAACCTCTCTTTCTTCATCATGGTCTTCTGTGAATGCACACAAAAGGGTGATTAGCATGCTTACTCTCTGGATGGTGGGCTGTCACTGGAAGACAGACGTCAACACTGCTGTCCCGAAACTTGTTACACAAAAGGGTGATTAGCATGCTTACTCTCTGGATGGTGGGCTGTCACTGGAAGACAGACGTCAACACTGCTGTCCCGAAACTTGTTTCCTTCTTAGCCCTCAGGTCTAGTCTGTAGTGAGTGATGAAGGTGGAGACATTAGACCAAGTGGCAGTCCTGCAGATGTCAGGCAGATCAACACCACGTAGTAGGGCAGTGGAAGAGGCTATGGCTCTTGTGGAATGAGCCCGGAGTCCTTCAGGTGGAGTCTTATGCTGAAGCTCATAAGCAAGTGTGATTGTGGAGACAAGCCATCTGGAGAGCGTTGAAGACGAGCGTTGAAGACCCTTCTTTTCCCAAAGTAGCAGAGGAAAAGTCTATTGGATAGCCTAAAGTCTTTAGTTCTAGAAACACAGAAGGCCAGAGCCCTCCTGACATCCAGACTGTGGAGCATGCGCTTGGTGTCATTGGCAGGTTCAGAGAACAAAGTAGGAAGCAGCAAGGGCTGGTTGAGATGCAAGTCCGAGACAACTTTTGGTAAAAAGGAGACATCAGGGTGCAACAGTACCTTAGCCTTGAAAAACTGTAGGAAAGGTTGATCAGAACGAAGGGCAGCAAGTTCACTTGACCGTCTGGCAGAAGTGATGGCCACAAGAAACAACGATTTCAAAGATAACATCTTGAGGTCACATGTCGCCATAGGCTCAAAGGGAGGGCGAGTAAGGGCATGCAACACCAACTGAAGGGACCACTGTGGAACAGGTGGTCGAACTGGAGATCTCAAATTAGTAAAGTAGCAGAGGAAAAGTCTATTGGACGACCTAAAGTCTTTGGTTCTAGAAACATAGAAGGCCAGAGCCCTCCTGACATCCAAAGTGTGGCGCATGCACTCAGTGTCATTTGTAGGTTCAGAGAACAGAGTGGGAAGTAGTAAAGGCTGGTTAAGGTGAAAGTCTGAAACCACCTTTGGAAGAAAAGAGACATCCAGGTGTAGGAGCACTTTGTCCTTGAAAAACTGTAGAAAGCGTTGGTCAGAACGAAGGGCAGCAAGTTCACTTGCCCGTCTGGCAGAAGTGATGGCCACAAGAAACAACGATTTCAAAGATAACATCTTGAGGTCACATGTCGCCATAGGCTCAAAGGGAGGGCGAGTAAGGGCATGCAACACCAACTGAAGGGACCACTGTGGAACAGGTGGTCGAACTGGAGATCTCAAATTAGTAAGCCCTTTAAGAAAGGCTTTAACTGTAGGATGGGAGAAAAGGCGTGATGAGGTTGAGTCCTTAGGCTGAAAGGAGATAATCGCAGCAAGGTAAACTTTAATAGTGGAAAGAGACAATTTGAAGTCAAACAGGTAACACAAGTATTGTAACAAGGTAGAAAGAGATACAGAGGATGGAACAAGACCCCTGGCTTCAGTAAACTTTAGGAAACTTTTCCACTTGTACAATAGAGATGTGGACGGCTTTATGGCTTGATCTAGGACCTCCTTGATTTCAGGAAGATCCTCCACGCTGTTAGGTGCAGTGTCTCCACGTCTGGATGGAACACTCTGCCTGCATCCTGTGTCAAGAGATCGGGTAATATTGGTAGTCTTTTGAACTGTGAGGACATCTTCATCAACGTTGGAAACAACACTTGCCAAGGCCAGTATGGTGCTATGAAGATCACCCCCACAGGTGAGTATCGAAGCTTCACTAGAGACTTCTGAATTAAAGGAAGAGGAAGGAACATGTAGAGGAGCCCTTGATTCCATGGGATCATGAATGCGTCCCCTAATGAGTCCTTGTCCAGGCCGGCTCTGGATGCATATTCGGTGCACTTCGCATTGTGATGAGAGGCTAAGATGTCCACGGCCCAGTCCCCCATAGGTGACAGAAGTCCTGGAACACTTCGGCGTTCAGTTCCCACTCGTGTGTCTGACGAGTGAGGAGACTCAGCTGGTCCGCTAACACACTGTCTGTCGTGGTCACATGAATCGCTACAGGAAAGACATGATGCTGGTAGCACCATTCCCAAAGATGAACAGCGAGGTAGAGAAGCGATCCTGAGCGAGTCCCTCCTTGTTTGTTGATATAGTACATGGTCGTGGTGTTGTCTGTTAATAATTGGACACCACAACCCTGCACCATAGGAAGGAAAGCTCTGAAGGCCTTGATGACTGCTATGATCTCCAGATGATTTATATGGAGGTTTCTTTCTTGAGCAGACCAGAGAGCATGAACCTTGTGTCGTCCGCAGTGTGCTCCCCATCCTGTCGGACTCGCATCTGTTGTCACCTGCACAGTGAGCTGAAGGGTCCAAAAGGGTCTGCCTATCCTCAGATGAGGAGGGTAGTTCCACCATTGTAGTTGTTGTGCAAGCTCTGGAGTTAGGCAAAGGCGTTTCTTCTGTCTGTCACGGGATTGAAAAGTGACAGGAACCAAGCCTGCAGGGACCGCAACTTGAGACGTGCCTGTGTCAGAGCCGGAGTGGTAGAGGCCATAAGGCCTAACAAGTGTTTAACATGT